ATAATAAGGTACTATCAAGAGTAGATAATAATAGAAGAGAGTGTCCTACTGTGCATATACCCCCTGCTTCATCACGGCATAGAATTGAGGAGTCACATTCAGGATACTTCCGTATTTTCATTGAGTAGTTATAGTTGTTGCTAGTTATTTTCGAATAACTACTTGAAAATACTGAAAATATCCTGAATGTGACTCTTAAATTCTACGACATGATGAAGCAGGGGGTATAGTGCACAGTAGGACACTCTCCTCTAATTATTATCTACTCTTGATATTATACATGAACCCGACTGTGCCACATCAAAGCACTGGCGGATCCAGAAAAATTAAAAGGGGGGTTCCATTTCACTTAAGTAGGTGTGGCTCATTAATTTTAATTAAAATTTGGGTGTGGCTCATCAATTTTAATTAATAAAATGGAGGAAAAGTGCTGCAAACTGACTGCAAAGAATCCAAAGATACTGCAAAAAGACAACTTCTTCTGCCAAAGAGGGGGTTCCATGGAACCCATGGAACCCCCCCTAGATCCGCCACTGCAAAGGATAGTCTCGCAGTCTGGCCTGCACGACTAATCAAACGAATGGCATATAACACATATATATATACACATTTATAATAATACAATGCTTTATTAAAGGCCTTATAGACAACACTTACATTGGATTCAACAGTAGTGGCATAATTTTCAATGCATTTTGATAGATCTGTTTTATTAATCTTTGAAAGACCATCAGCTAGTGCCTCCCCACTCCTGAGACTGGTAGCTTCCGTGGTGTCTTGATCTTTCTTCAACTTTATAGATCTAGTCCAAGATCGCCATAGATCACACATACTATCAACACACGAATCTAAAATTGATCTACGAGGCTCACTGAAAAGCCGAAGGGTAACATGAATGTCGATAGCTCTAGTTTTAACTGTTTTTGGCAGCATTACAGATCCAAATCTAACTGCTGATGGGTATTTTGAGCTATCATAAGCGAACAATGAGCTCTGCTCAGCCATAGCGGCTTGTCTACTGCTTGTCTGCTACTCTCAGTACACTGCTTTCTTGCATGACCCCACCTACTTCGATAGACTATTCACGTGACACTACAGAAGCTGAGAAGCAGTGGTGCGTCATTTTTCAGGACTTGAGATCCAGTCAGTATAATAATCTCCTGATACTTAGGACGGAAAGACTCTAAAAGAGGGAGAGAATGGATGAAGATGATTTCCTAGGATCTGGCAGGTAAGGAAAAACCTACATATTTGGGGGCGTGGCACTCTTATAATTACTGTTTTTCCTTTTGTTTCCAGTAGTTCTGGCCTAGCCTCGATTTTTGGAGCTAGCGTTGCAATGGATGGTAGTCATGGCAATGAATCTCTCACCTATAAAGCTCCGAAGCAGCCTAAGAAGCAAAAAGGTAAAGTGGGAGGGGCTGAAAGGGAGGAGGGTGGGGCTGGGCCAGGAATAATAGTAACAATAATGACTTTTATTACATAGGTAGTGGGAGTGGTCAAGAGTCGCAGCAAGTTTTAGCAGCCGTTTCAGTCGACTGTCAAAAACAGTAATCATTTTAAATTATTTGTTTATTTATTTATTTATTTATTTTAGTGTTGATGGTCGTTATCAGCCTCAGGGCAAGTTAGGGTGTGCACTAATAGGGCTTCACTCAAGTAGAGACGTGAGTTAATAATACAAGACAATAATTTTAATAAATTAATACCAAGAG